ACAAATGCACTTGTGGAGGGGGGGGAAGTGAAAGAGATGAAGTTCCATGCTGAAGTAGATATAAACCTTTGTGAGGTACAACTGTGCAAAGTACGCCTCATGCACTCTTTTAGTAACTCTGACAAGCTTTACCTGAGAATAACAAGATAGACATTACCAATTCAGAAGCTAGTTTTCGCAAGCTATGCGTATTCAATTAAAAAAACTCGAGTTCAATAAGGTAATTATCGAGCAGCTCGAGCTCTTGGTCGAGTCGAAATAGAGCACCATAACACTTGGCATGAACAACTAGACAGCCTAATCGAGCTTTTATTTTTAATATATTTTTATACTATTAAATTACATTTTTACACTCAATATGTATATATCATTAGTAACCCTATTCTAGATTCATAAAATTTTCCTCTCTTTCGTTACCTTAGCAGCGCCACATACACATCAAGAAGAAACACAGATTCCTTGGTGGTTCCTTCTTAATTTCTTCCTTCGCATTTTATTAATTATTACTTTCTAATTACTCTTGCTCGTTATAGCTTCCTTAAGCTATTAGTTATGACATTAAACAAAAAAGGGGATTAACAAAGGAAGAAGATTAGCAGAGTTGGAAAGTGGGTTTTCTTCCAAGTATCCAAGGAAGCTTAGCAAGTTGCAACTCTCGTCTTGTAATTATTTTTGTTCTTTATTTCAGTAATGTCTATCAAATCTAAAAATGACCCTTTTTTCAGCAAGAAAACAATTTCCTTTTCTTCTTATGAGCTCATTTTGTTTAAAATTGTAGGAATTTTCTTACAGTTTAATTTGATGGGTTTAGTTTTTAATAATAGATAACTAGAACTAAAACAGATTTGTATTTTTTTCCATTTTTTAATTGTAATTTAGTTTCGGTTTTTTAACAGAAGTCTCCTTTGGATTCTTAGTCCCTACAGGTTTTGAAACAATAATTTAGTCAAAAAAATAGAAAACGGGGGGAAATTTGCAATGCTTCATTGAACTTAACCAATGGTCCTGAGCTCAAGCTTAATCGAGCTAAATCTGCTCTATGATTTTTGAGCTTAAAAAATAATATTTGATCAAGTTCAAGTTTGAGTATCGAGCTCTGAACATAGAGTCAAGCTCGATACAATTCAAGCTCGACTCAATTACACCCTCTAGCGACAATACAAAAATAAGATGTTGAGAGATAGGAACTGGAGCAGGAAAGGAATCATACTTGGTATTCCATCTTGTCAATCATGTCCTTCACTACTTGATACATAGTAGGTCTAGCCTGGAGTCAATGAAAAAAATCATATATAATTCATATTTGGTACAATAACATACAATTTGGAAAAAAAAAAAAAAGAAGGAAAAGAACCCGACTCAATGGGAATATAAAACAATAACATACAATTTGGACATTGCGCACAGCTGCCATGAGCAACACACTTGGCATCTCCACTGGAAAAAAAAACACAATCCAAGTAAAACATGAATAGAAAAATTACAAATAGGGTCAGATTCATATATCATGTAAGATCACATACAAACAATGATTGGGAGAAGAAGACCAGTCCCATCGTCCATCTTCAGAACGATGGCAGGGTGTGGTGCATATTCCGGCAAATGCCCGCCTTGAGGATTGTTATGGACGCATCTTAAATGCCTACCGTCCCTCATTTTGACCATAAATCCATCAGATCCACTCCTCACCTCAACTATATCAAACAATTATGAAAATACACCAATTAATAGCGCACATATTAACAAATCTATATAAATAGACTCCAGCTTTATATATAAATAAAAGGCAACAACACAAAAGAAACAATAGTGAAGTAGTCACTGACAGCAGCCACATACCAGCTTCAAGCACACTGGCATCAACATAATCTTCATCATTTTCTTTGAAATTCTCGGCCGTGCTTCCATTCTCATCCGAAGATGAACTGAAAGTGCATTGCACCGTGGTCCTGCACTTACGTAATTTGAGTTGACTAAATAAAGCACGCGACTTATTCTTTCCATCAATTATCACTCTACATCCCCATATATCACTTCTATGCAATCTTTCCCTCGGAAAAAGGTCATTCGCCGGCGGTGTATAAACCCCAAATTGCTTGCTCCGAACAGCAGGGCAAATCACCGATCCTTGCAAAGAAACCATCTTCCCTTTGTCACAACCTACCCCGCAATAAAGACAAATAAATCTCATAAATTGTAATATCCTCAGGAGAAAATATTAAGTTTATTTCAATTTAACTCCCAATTTAGAAACTAAAAAAAAAGAAAAAAAATATAATTTTTATATTGAAGAAGATGGATGAACCTATGATCCAAAAACAAGTTAAAGAATCAATTAAAGTAAAACCGATAGATTAAAGATCCACACCAGAATCAAAGATATCCGAAGCAGGCACAACAACTACACAGATCAAGATTCAAGAATCGACGATCGGTTTCGATCAGCGGTCACAGCGAATTTGAGGAGAATCTTAGAAATCTGAAGAGGTCTTTTTTATTTTTTATTTTTTAAAGATCTAAATCAGAAATTTAAAAGAAAAAGGAAAGATCGAAGGAAATGAGGAATCACATGAAAGAAATGAGAGATGGCGGAGATAAGAGATTCCTTTTTCTTTTTTGGATAATTGTAATATGTATGTCTCCCCTGGACCCGACCGCATTGAATGTACCCATTTTTATCAATAATTGAAACTCTTTCTAAATTACGGATCTAGCCCTGCTTGTTACCCATTTTCTTCTCAGCCGCTCGCCCTTAGAGGGGTTTAATTATGAATTTAATTAAGGTATTTTTAAGTTTTATTTGAATAATTATTTTTATATAAAAATTAGGTGAATAAAAGTAATATTTATTTAAATATTTTAGGGCTTTGATAAAATTGTTCATACCTTTATATAGGTTTTTCAACTTGAGATTTAAAAAAAAATAATAAATTTTTGATTATAATAATATTTGTACTTTAAATAATTAATTAAGTTATATAATTCAAATAAATTGTATAACTCAAACTACTTGTTAATGGTGTTTATTTTTTATCCCCTTTCCTTGCTTCCATTTCTAATATTTATCAGGGTCGGATTAGGACGTTGGAGTCCCTATGTAAATTCTTAAAAATAGTGTGGTTGTTGGAAAATTGAGATTAATGGAACTAATTAATTAAAGGAAATTATGACTATGATGAGAATGAGAATTAATGAGAGAAGATAAATAATTGAAGTTTGGTAAAGTGAATTGAAGAAGATGAACTATTTTCTTGTAAAGTGGATTTAGACCTAAAAAATGAGATAAGTTTTACAGCTGTAGCACAATACTAATTATTGGTATTTTCCATATGACTTCAACAAGATTCGACAGTAGATTATGTGGTTTTGAGTCAAAAAAATTATCACTGATCTATAATACTTTGTTTACTTTTTTATTGTAATAATAATAATAAATCTAGTTTTTTGGGGCCCTTACTATTCTGGGACCCTATTCCGTCGCGCACATTGTATTGTCCTAGCCCCGCCCCTATATTTATATACAAAATGTTGATGGTGTTTACATTATCATTAATATAATGTTTATTTATACCTATTATTTTTTAAATTTTTATTATATTTTTAAATTTTGTATAACTTTATTTTATAATAATTAATTTGTGGATTCTAATAAATTTGAAAATTTTGATTCATGTAATTATTTTATTATAATTTTTATTTTTTAATCTCCTTTTACAATTTTATTATAGTTTCTCTTTATCTGACAATGCTTATAGTTAATTATGATTTTTATTATGAGTAAATTATGATCATATAAATGTCATCCAATAATGCTTATAGTTAAAACTATCTTACTAGATTATGTGTAAATTTATATTATATTTTTATTGGTTCTTATGAATTGATCATTGTTTCTTGGTGTAGAATTGTATTTAGTGATTATAAATAATGTAAGAGCTTTTGGCAGTGCAATGATCTTTTTTATTAAATCCCTAATATATTAACTATGTATATAATTTCGTAATATGTATTTAAATGATGTTTTGATTGTTTTGTATAATCCGTGTTATGAACTATGAAGTTTAAGTATACTATGAGAGTAATAATGTGACCTAGTAGCAATTCCTAGTATCGATGCCTTGAGCCAAAAGTTCGATTTTAATATATCAATTTGATATTGATATTAAGATAGAATATCACAAATGATTTAATAATATCGATATCCAATTTTTGATATCGAAACTTAACAGAAAGATCAAGAATCCTAAACCTCGAATAAGTATCGATACTTTTCACACAATATATATATATATATATGTCTTATATGATAAAAATCTTGTGGAATAAACTTTCAAATTGATACATTATGAAATGTAATAAATATTTCATCATATGTCAGTGGACGGTTTTGGAGATATTTTAAAGGGTAAACTATATGTTAGTATCTCATCGTATATATATCTAACATTTAGTTTAAGTTTCAATTTGATACTCAATGTTAAAAAATTAACATAACCATCAACGTGATTATTTTTATTTTTTAACAATGATGTGACATTATCTTATACTGAAATATTAACGGAGGGTACCAAATTGAAACTTAAACTAAATGCTAAATATGATTTTGAAAAAAATAAAGTTTAGTATCAAAACAGAATAAAAGTAATAATTTAGATACTAAACATGTAGTTTACCCTATTTTAAAGATATGATTTTGGAATTTAGAAAGAAAGGAAAAGGAAAACTTTTTGAGCAATTAGTGTATGATAAAAGAGGAAGACAAAGATAAAAGCAAAAGCTAAATACTTTCTGATTGAATTATGGATAAGATTCCATCCAGAAAATTGTATTGTATCTGATCCAAACGACGTCGTATATCGAGCTTCTAATAAACGGTTGCCGCCGCTGCTACAGTGGGCCCCTACATGAATGGACAAACTTTTTTTATAAAAAGAGCCAGTAGCTGTCGTCACCGGAGCAAAACCCGGTGCAGGTTAAATCCACCCAAAAGAAAATCCTAATAATAATTTGCTTGGTATTGTCGTTACTCTAATGGCGTCCAGGTAACCAAGTTTCCTCTCCTTCAGATCTCATCTGTCACAACTAATAATTACACTCAGAATCACAAGTATTTCCCCCCCACCCAGTGTGGAGTTTTAGTTTTTTTTCTTTTCGTGGAATCGTGATCGGTCTGCTCTAGCTCAAACTTTAACCGTGACCTTGTTTCAATTAGGGTTTCCCTATTGTTTCTGACGATTTTTGAAATGAATTCCGACGTTGATTAGCCGACAGAATTCGCCGAAATTCTCCAAGTTCAGTTATTTTGGTATTAAAGAAGAATCGCAGAGAAAATTTTCGAAACAGGTAAAAGCTTAGTAATCTTACTTCTTTCGCCTTTTTTTCCTTCTTTTAATTCATTTAATTGTGTTGTGAAGTGGATGCCTTTCACTAATTAACTGAAAATAATTAGTACAGTAATTACTAAAATCAATTCCACCCAAAATAGAAACTTTCCCCCCCTTATTAAGCCTGGTTATTCAGGTGATTGTTCTTTTTGGGTCAAAGGCAGGAGATGGCAACGCCAGTTGAGCCTCCGAATGGTATTCATTACCCAGGTAAACATTACTATTCCATGTGGAAAACGTTGTTCGAGATTGACACCAAATATGTGCCCATCAAGCCAATTGGGAAAGGAGCATATGGTATCGTTTGCTCTTCGGTGAATCGCGAAACCGACGACAAAGTCGCCATTAAAAAGATAAACAATGCCTTTGACAACCGGGTTGACGCACTGAGGACTTTGCGTGAACTGAAGCTTCTCAGACATCTTAGACATGAAAATGTGATTGCCTTGAAAGATGTCATGATGCCCATACATAGGAGCAGTTTCAAGGATGTTTATCTAGTTTATGAACTTATGGATACGGATTTGCATCAAATTATTAAGTCTTCCCAAGCGCTTTCAAATGATCACTGTCAGTATTTCCTCTTCCAGGTATCTACCAATCCCTTTGCAAAGACATTGTATTGGGTTAGTTTTGATAGATTATTTGCTTAACATGGATAAACTGTAATTTCTAGGCAGTATTACATTTCAGTTATACAAAGTTAATAAATGGAGCACGGGCTTACAATTGATACATTTTGTGTGTGCATGTTTTAACACGAAAAATGCTAAATTTAAATGTGTTTTACATGGATGCTATGTTGCATAACTTCACGTTACTACTACTAGTATACTAATTTATGATAATTATCATGTAATCTATATTTTTATTTCTTGTGCATTCCCTTTTGGCAGTTCTCCATTGTTGAATAGTACTATTGTCTGCTCGTTACATTCCTTCTTAGCACTGTATTAAATTATTGGTGGATCAAAATGATTGTTCCTGCTAATTGATCTCCAATGTTTTAACATGACTAGGCAACAGTTAGGGACTGACCTGATTGGAGCTATTTCATGATAGCATTTTCTAGAGAAACATGTTCTAGGCATTCTAGCTTTCGACCATAAGATACTGGCCTGATATAGCAAGCATTGTTATTACTTTCATCTCTAATGTATCTGGTATGATTATGCATCACAAGCTTTTATGCAAAGGCCTACTATTATAAAAATTGTTTTCATAAAGAAGCATATTTTGGAGTAGCTGCATCAGCCATGACTGCCACTTTCTCTCAGTTGGTTTGGGCGTAAAGAGACTTCTAGCATTTATGTGCATGACTTTTTTTAGTAATTGAGAAAATTATGCAGGGGTAATGTTCTTGAATTTTGCATGAAAGTTTCTATTGTGATAATGATCTAATATTTTAAAAAAAATTGTACCCAATCTCCTTCTTGCAGTTACTTCGAGGCTTGAAGTATCTTCACTCTGCAAATATTCTCCACCGTGACCTGAAGCCTGGAAACCTTCTTATAAATGCAAATTGTGACCTTAAAATTTGTGACTTTGGACTGGCTCGCACGAGCAATGCCAAGGGTCAATTCATGACAGAGTATGTTGTCACTCGCTGGTACAGGGCCCCTGAGCTTCTCCTCTGCTGCGACAACTATGGAACATCCATCGATGTGTGGTCTGTTGGATGCATCTTTGCTGAGCTTCTTGGCCGAAAACCCATCTTCCCTGGCACAGAGTGTCTCAACCAACTTAAGCTGATCATCAACACTCTTGGCAGCCAGAAGGAAGAGGATCTTGAATTCATAGATAACCCCAAGGCAAGGAACTACATTAAATCACTCCCATATTCCCGGGGAATCCCCTTTTCCCGTCTTTATCCAAATGCCCATCCTTTGGCAATCGATTTACTGCAAAAAATGCTTGTTTTTGATCCTTCGAAAAGGATTGGTGTAACTGAAGCACTCCAACACCCTTACATGGCACCCTTGTATGATCCCAACAGCAATCCTCCAGCCCAAGTGCCAATCGATCTTGACATAGACGAGGATCTGGGGGAAGAGATGATCAGGGAGATGATGTGGAAGGAAATGCTTTATTACCACCCCGAAGCTGCCAATGCCAACGGTGAGGTGTGCGCCTAATCTTTTCCACATCTTCCTTAATCACTCTGCAGTCAAGCCTACCGCCTACGAGGCTGTTTTACTACTGACGAGCAGGGTTTTGTCTTGGTGGTAATAGATGCTATATTTATGTCTTTGCTAATCCTTTATGGTTTGAATAATGTTGGAGAAACACAGGCAATATGTATGGTTGTCTGCTGTGATGCATGATATAACTAAAATTTTGTACCAATTACTTGTTTAGGAGTTCGAGCTCTTTCTGTAGATGCCTTGAAAAACCGAACTTGTATATAAGTGTGTTATTTTATGTGTCAAACTCGAGCCTTTGGACCAACTTTTTTAATTACATGTTATGTACATTAAGTTTAGACATTGGGAAAGTTAGCTTGTGGTGAAAATGATTGTAATTGAAGTCTGGCTCCCTATTTGTGGTGTAGGTTAGGGATGTAGAATGCGGTTGATCCAGTTAAGTTATAAAAACATTAGTAGTTAACCGAACCGGAGTAAATCAAACCGGAATAATTTTGATTCATTCACACACTTTTCTTTTGACCTAAGAAAATCAGATCTTTCGAAGCCCGAAGTTTAGGAGTCAACGGAAGAGATGTTTCGAAGCGAAGGTATTCTCGTATTCTGGAGTGTTTAATCATCGGAGGAATTGTTTGTACAAGAAGTCCGGAGGAGATATAACCATTATGATTTTGTTTAATATATTCATAGTGCATAAATTTTCTTTATATATGCATGGTATATTAGTATTTCTCCCAAAAATGTTAAAAAATTACTTTAATAGTTATTAAAGTTTTTGAAACTTTTTATAATTTTATAGTTGATTTTTTTCAAAAGTTAATGTCAAGATACAAGGATGGAAGTATAATTAATCATAAAAAATGAGGAAAACAAAATTAAGGTAAACTAAAATTAGGAAGTCAAATTTAATATTTACAATATAATTTTTTTAATAATATGCTTCGTCCCTGTCAAGATATATCATCTAATTTTATATATAATTAATGAATTAGATAACACAATATAATTATAGAAGTTCAAAATTAAATTTATTCTTAATAACCATCATCTGGTTTCTGATATTATATAAAAAAAATCATATTTTTGTTATTACATCGAATATATTAAAAGTAAAGAAATTTATATTTAATATATTAATTATACATAATACACTATTAATGAGTTATATGACTAAAAGAAATCATTATTTTATATTTAATTCTCCTGGATGCCAGCTTTCGGTTCTACCTCAATTTTGTCATCAAATTCATTACATACGAGTTTTAATGCTTGAAAAACTTCAGCTATGAATGGACGATGAGGTACTTCTAGCTGCACGCATATTGATGCAGTCGTCGCTACCTTGGCAATGCTATTTAACAAGATATCAGATTTTATGACACCTCTTCTAGCTGCACGCATATTGATGCAGTCGTCGCTACCTTGGCAATGCTATTTAACAAGATATCAGATTTTATGACTGTGTCGGTGATGGTTTCTAAACCTTCCTTGTCTGTTAGGAGTACAGTGGACGAGCCCATGTAATGGGATTTTCTTGACCTGGGGGCTGCAACAAGTCCACAAGTTTCCAGCTCCTTGTTAAGAGATCAAGTAGGACCACTCCATAACAAGAAAACATACCTTTTTGCGTACAAAGCAAATCCAACGTGCTTCAAGGATGTCATCAGCAATCGACACAGTATATTCCCCATCAGATTCGATATTCGTGGCCTTCACCTTGAGGTCCTCGACCAGGAATGCAATCCTCCTAGTCTAGAACGAGTGACGAGCCCTTTCTCACCAAGGTCAAGCTCAAGACTTAGGGGCATGGGTGTATGGTTGCTGAACCATCAGCCAGAAACTTGACATCTTTGTTCTCAGGCTAGGTTTGGGCCCATGCCTTCATTACGAAGGGTTCATTCACGCTTATGCAAAGAATTTCATCAACGCCCCTGGATTTAAGTTCCCCTGCTTTCTCGATGAACCCAAGCACATGCTTTAAGCTGCAAGTAGGGGTAAAACCACCAGGAACGCCAATAATAATGACCTTTTTACTGGCAGCGACAGAATGTACAGACGCTGGAACTTATCCTCGGCGTCGAAGTAGCAAAGAGTACCGTCCGGGAGAACATCGCTGACAACAATCTGGGGGGTTGATGATATTTGCGGTTTGGGCAGTGGAAGGGGCAGAGGGTATTTATTTATAGGGTTTAACTTTCAATATAATGTTTTTTTCTTTCTTTCCAGGATGTGTGTCGGGCACTCCAGTTAAGTGGATTGGTTTCCTTCTCAGCTCCCAGAAGAACACAGAGAATTAAACAATCTCTAATGTAATATATAACAGCCTAATCACTATCGAATGAAAAATGTTATTTATTAAATTACTTCAAATTATGATAATTTGATACAATATGTAAATTGAGGATTAAAAATATTATCGTATCATGACATATCATCATTCCGAGATTTTTCTGCTCCTTGATATCTCTTTTAGTGCCCACCAATTATTTTTGGCCAATGATGTCATGATTCGTGATGATATTTTTGTTTAGTTCGTTAATAATCTTTTTGATGATTTATTTATATATTTATTTTTAGAGATTTATATAAAATGAGGCTCGAACTTAAGTATTTAATTGTCAAAGATATTAGTCTTGGTCAATTATATAGAGACCTAAATTAGTAATTGACGACATATTTTAGTTTTTATAAAATAGAAAAACTAAATTTATGATAAACCTACTACGTGAAAGTATAATAATAAAAATACAAATATTAAAACAACAAATGCTCTTTTTCATTGGATTTTGTGTGTTTTTATATTCATTATTTCTCTCTTTCTCTTCAGAAGTTTTCAGTCTTATGATTTTTTCATTGTCTTTCACTGTTGACGATCAAAATGCAATCAAAAGAGAGATGTTGATTCTACTATAGATAACCTGCAACATCGGTCCTTACACTGTCTTCATCATCTTTCTTTCCACCTTTTCTCCCGTTGAACTCTTCCCCTATTTTGCTTTTGTTGTGAACCTTCCTTTCAACGATTTAATCGCTTTGGAACGTAGTCTCAACGATTTGGCATACGAATGAATCTCAAACTGGAATGAACAAATTCAAATAAAATCCGTAGGGATAAGAGGCGAATTAGGTAACAATATAAGGAACAATGGAAATATGAAATCCATCCCAGTCTAATGTGAACACCTAATGAAAATGTGGGTTGTCTTCTCCAAAAATAAGGGTGCATCCTCGTTCCTTCTTAAATTTGAAATGGCAGCAAATATACGACCAAAATTGGCATCTCAACCGACGAAACCCGACTTCTTCACGTGAATAACAGTCAAAGTGGATATCAACGTGGTCAAACAGTGCAAACTCAATCGTTTAAACATGCCACCGCATCATTCTGATGTTAACGGTTGAGTAATAGATTTAGGGTACTACTAAACCTACCGAAAAAATAATAAAAAATTTAGTCATGTTGAAAACAACAATTAGTGGACTAACCCTTTTTCAGTTTTATTTTCTCAGGCCCTACTAGACTACACGTGGCGTTTTGTTGCTGACTTTGTTTATCATTTTACTATCATTTCACTATCATTTTACTAAAAAAATATAATAATAAAAATCAAATATTCATTGATTTAATTTAATTACCAGATTAAAACTAGATTGATGTTTGATTCAAATCATATTTGGACAAATTTAATTCAAACTATCGGGTCGGGCTTTTTTAAAAAAAATTGGGTTCGGATCGTGTCAGATTTTTTAAGGACAAAGTTCAGGTTTGGTTGGACCACCCTATCCGACCCATGTCCATCCCGACCGCTGATATCAATCGCTCGATAAATCGTAGCCGACAAAGAAGTCTGCTTACGACCTACCAAGGGAGTCGTGGGCAATTACGTAAATAATTTACAATATAAATATAAAACTATTCAAACATCGAAACTTTTAAAATAATTTGATATTTATTAATTAATGTTTTAATATTTATTTTTTATACATGTATGTATAATTAAATAATAGCGTTATACTACACGTATAATTTATTATTTACTTAATAAGAACATTTTAGTTAATAATATATTTTAATATGTCGCTTTAATAATATATAGTGGTATACAACGTACAACTTATCCTAATTTAAATTATCAGTGTTATAAATAATATTGATTTCTTTAATTGAAATTAAAGATTGAAATCCGATATAATGAATAAAAAATAGAGCTAAAAATTATCTGTAATAATGTTTTATAATATTTAATTTATGAAAATATATACTGTGCAAGATCCGGTTGGAATGAATGGGAGGCGGTTGGGTACGTTGAGTTCAGCGCACATGAAACATAGAAAAAGGTGGGTTGTTGTCCAAATGCTGACAAAGCATTCCTTTTTTATTATTTTATTAAAAGAATTGGTATGTTTAGTAAAACACTTGGTACATTTAGACTATCCCATAGATTTATTACAAAATATAATGTTAGTGATCATTTTATTATTTTTAAAACTTTAATACTGAAAATAAAAACTTACTCATAATTTAGTTACCATTTATGTAGTTTATTCCATTTTAAAAGTCATTTTTAGAAAGTTGAAAGTTAAAGGACCAAGTTGCTGGTTAAGCTGTTCAAGTATATGAATATATAAATACAAACACATAAAATGATAAAATAGCTGAGATGCGTTTTTCTTTAGTAAAACTAAAAAGCAGAAGAAAAAGCAGCAGAAATTGCACCAGAAGAGACGTGGCACAGTTCCCCCTTACGTGCCCTTTCACTCTCTCTCTCTTTCTGTCGTGAACATCGCCGTTCCTCTCTGACCGCAGCCGGAATTTTCGACGCCGTTCCAATCTTTCTTCCTCTCTTCTTCACCTCCATGACTTCCTAACCGTTGAATCTGTAAGTTTCTTTTTTTAACTATTTTTTGTTGTTTTATGGATGCTATCTTTCGGCAGGTGAAAAGCTTGAAATCAGATCAGAGTATGGAATACCAAACGCTGTTTTTTTAGTCCTAATCGAAACTTTATATATATGTATGTATTTCGTTTAACTTTTGAGTTATATTTTTGGTAGAGCTAGTAAATGTTCGAACCGATGATCCTTTGCTTCTTTCAAATTTTTTTATTTGTAAAAGTCAAACAAAAAAATGCTCTCAAGTAGTTGAAGACGTTAATTATGTGAATATTCTCGTCTTAAATGCTTTACTTTGCATTATTTTTATTCCAAATTTGGAGTTTGCCAGGTATATGGATGATTAATTGAGGAAGATGGTCTCAACTAGCTGGGGTTTTTTTATCCATTATTGTTATACCTCAGCTTAACCGTTTTATTTTCTACTAATTATTTTTCTGGTTTACTACGTTTTTTG